ACTTCAACGTGAGTAGAAGAAACTCTCTAACTTCTTCCTTTCTTCTTCCTTTGCTCTCTTACTCCCGCGTCTTTAAGGAGCAACCTTCATTTCCGGAATGCAATAGTCCTATTTCCATATAAGGTATGACTGACGGAAAGGTCTGTCACCGCCCCGAAGCTGCATGCTGCAGCGAAGTGTACCTCGGCTGAAGACATACGAAGAAAAAAAACTGTTGACTGCTATCATACATGGTCACAGAAAATGACAGCTGTCACATATTATGACTTCACTGTAGCTAAGGAAATAGTAAAATTTTTTATTCAAAAACTATTTATACTAATTGTTTACATCCTCTACTCGCAGAAAAATAGCTTTTGATCAATGACATGGTGTCTGTTATTAAACTAGAAAAGGGTCACATAATATGATAGCTATTATTTATAGTAGTAATAGTAATAGTAATAGGCTAGTCAACATGCCAGTGATCAGAAGTTATTTTTCTGACATTAGAGGATTTATACAATGAGTAGAATCAGTTTATGATTACATATTTTTATTATTTACCAAGCTATACAATATCTGACAACAGTTATCATATTTTGTGACCCCTGGGTTACACTTTTGGTGTATCATATTCTTCTTTGTGGCCAAGTTCTGTCGTAGAAACGCAACAGCTCCCCTCTGGTCACAATGTATGATGGTCACAAAATATGGTGTAACACCTGTTAAAAAAAACTATTGCTAAATTGTCCATTCGAGTTCACTCCCTGTGGCAAAATAACAATAACCATGTGACTACAGTAATCAGACTGGTCATCAGTGAAAAATCACATTGCAGTCATGAACATTCAGGAACAAACAAACAAACAAAAAGCCACAAATGGTTTTCATGGTTTAAAACATGAGATTTACACCAAGATTCTTGGGTTTTTGTTTTTCCACCTTTTTGTCTGTCTGACTTCTCTTTTCTATTCTGATGTCTTAGCAGTTTAGCTTGAATCTATAGCCTTACTTTTAACCATAGTTTTTTAAGAGAAGTGTAGTCGTTGCATCACATGCCTCCTGGTAACCCTGCTGACTGTGGTGTTTTTCTGCAGGGACATGAGTGCYGTCTGCGTCTACACAATCGGAGACATTAGCGACGTTTTTACGAACTCCAGATTTAAAGGGTCCACAACATACGATGAGCAAGACCAACGCAGGAAAGAGGTAAGCTATTTAAACATGCAAAAAAATAGCCACTTGCTATTTGAATATTTAAAGAAGTTACATTTTTAAATATGACCATTTGCCCAAATTTTTTAAAGCTCGACTGCAGCATAGATGATTGAATAGATCACTGGATCTTTATTTATTTTTGTTTTTGTTTGTACAGTGTGTTCCTGACAGCACAAAGATTTCTCCAGGAATCCTGATGAGGATTAAAACAACATCAGAGGTGGAGCAGCAGGTGCTGCCCATGAACAAGTCTGGACCAATTCTCTTTAAGCATCACAGTTACACTCACATCCAGGTTGATGCTTCGCTGCAGACGGTGAAAGATCATCACGTTGTCATGTTTTTAACTCTGAGTGAGTAAAGGTCATTTTAACAATAGGCAAAAGCTTCTGAACAATAAACTGGACTTTATTGCATATTTTAATCAAATGTTCTGCAGGTATGAGCAGCAGTAGGACTGAGTTATAACCAAAGTGTTGATCTAAAACCCCTGTGTCATGTAAAGTTAAATATGTTTTACARGTTGACTGGAGTTTAATACAAATCATTTCAAAAATAACATTTGTCCTCATTAGGAATGGCAGATTTTCCTTTGGTTCCAGGTTAACTTTCACATATAAAAGCAGGAATGAATTGTCTGCAGTTATCTTGTAAAAAGAGATTTGTTACCCCTCATGACTCCAATTCATTTTACACTTTGGTCTTGATGACTAGATTCTCAGTCATCCAGGTCATGATCAGTCAAAAAAAAAAGTCTAATAAAAAACAACAAAACAAACCATCTTCTATTCTGAAACTTAAGATGTTTTGCTTCTCGTCCAGGAAGTTTCTCAATTTATGGGGGGGTTGAGAAAACTTCCTGGAGAGGAAGCAGAACGTCTTCAGCTTCAGAATAAATCAGCTGCTTTTGTTGTTTAACCTTTTTTTTGGATGAATAACTCTTCACACTTTGGCCTGCTAATGTGCTAAATATAATGCTAATGTCATTTCACATGAGTAAAAATAGATTATGAACAATGAAAAACTAAAAGCTAAAGGTTCTTGATCTGTATTCAGTATTTTTTATTGAAGCAACATATTTATTTTCCTTTAAACAGAAAGTTTTTAAATGACTTGTCTTGATATTTTTATAAAGTTTCTAATGTTTCTACACAAAGTGACTTTTCTGTTTGACTCATTTAAGAACTACTGATCCTCTTGTGACTCGTGTTCTGCTGAAACACTGTAATATATACATAAAAGTGTAATAGGGGAGTATATATAAAGTTTATTGATCTATTTATAGGAACTAACCTCAGTTTTTTTTTCTTTTTTTATGTGCATCAAATTGAATGATGCTGTCAGCAGCTGTGTGTATACTTGTTGAATTCAGAGATAATTTAAAGTTCTTTGGTTTGTTTATTAAAGACATATAGCATGTCTTTGTTTCTCTATGTGTGGCCATGTGATGGACTTGTGACCTGTACAGGGTGTACCCCGCCCCTCGCACTGTGACTGCTAGATATGGGCACCAGTGACCCTAAAAGAAAGAAGCTGGTCAAAACGATGTAATTTTAATTTAGCTGTTGTATTATGCCTCTAACGGAGTGGTTTTGACAGAATGGTGGTGGGTGCACTTGTGATGTGTTTCCACATCTTACTGAAAATGAGGCTGACTCAGACTGAAGTCAAACTAAAGGGGGGTCTGAAGCAACCATTTGTGGTTTGAAGGTGTGGAAAGGTATAAAGGTAACAATGTGTCATCCTTCCTCCTCTTGTGTCTTTGAATAGATGATGGAAGAATACACAAAGCAGKGCAGAATGGGAATCATTCATTCGTCATTGCAGAGTATCAACCTTTTAACATCAACGCCAACATCCTCGGTGTCATCCTCCACCACTCCTCTGTGAGTAACAAAGTCCCACCCACACATCCCATCATTTAAGCCTCAGTGGTTATGGAGGAGTTTATGCAAGTTCAACTGTCTTGAACTTTATATCATGTAATAATACCATTCCCTCAAAAACATGCCCACGGTGTTGCGTTGACTCATGCATGCATGTTCCAGTGTGGGATCATTCACATATTGAATCATGAAGTATTGTTGTGATGACATGCTGAAGTGGGAGTGTCTGAAATGGTAGAAGGTTCTTAAAGAGACAGAGGCCAATTTCAAGGCGTAAATAAAAACCTTGCTTTATAAAACCTAAAAGTTTAAAGCGGTTGTTTTGTAAGACTTTTTGTCATTTGCATAGACATGTTTTTAATATTATTCTTGTCAGAAATCAAACGAGCTTGTGTGGCTTGTCCCTTAGTTGTTCAAGTATTGCCTTAAAGCTAATTTTGTTAACTTATAACATTAGCATTATTTTGCAACTTGCTTCTGTTTAGCATCTTCACGTTTGCTAGGCGACAGGATATTCGCCAGGGTTAGGGCRAGAATAATGCTGAAGGCTAGACTGTCCAAAGTCACAGCCACTTATTTCAGGTCTTCATGGTCTACAAAGGACCTGGCTCACATAGACCGGGTAGGCCGGGTCCTTTGAAGGGCGCAGCCTCATACAGCGCTCCACAGCAGTCCGTCACACATGGTGATAATATTATACTTAAACAAATTTTAAACATCACTGTGAGGTATCTTTAAATGATGCAGAAGTGGTGGCTCCAGTGATTGAACACACACACACACACACACACACACACACACACACACACACAC